AGACCAATATTTGAGTGTGGCCATTGCACTAGACGGATGAAATGAAAAGATAAATTGAGGAAAGCCTGTGCACCTGGGGAAGCGAGTTTTAGAAGAAAAATCCACCCCAGCTCCCTGGACTATGATCTCAGGTGATGGCAATGAGAAATAACTAAGGTTAGTGGCAAGCGAAGCCTTCAGTACGGGGCTTTTGGGGAACATGTATTCAATAAGCCCAAGTCCACCTTCCATGTATAGAAGAATCTGAAAGCTCAGATGCCTTAAGGTGAAGTAAACACGTGAACCGGAAGAGTGCGGAGCTACTGGACGTGGAGCAAACCGGCAACGGGAAAGGGTGGGTGCTCCACAGAAGGCATTCCATGGTTTACTGGTTTTGCCAAAGGAAACACAGAGTTTGGCGACACTTCCACGCCACCAGTTCGCAAACACTTTTCAACACAGTATTAAAACATAAAGCCTATTTTATGCTTAAGATGAATGGCTGAAGACTAAGTGAAACGTTTTCCGTCTAAAATGACCTATGAAAAGCCAGTTTAATTTTAAAGGAGATCCCAACTGACTGGAAAATAAAAATTCCTGACGTTTTTCAATCTACATGTTGATAGAAGGGACATGTCAGCACCTTGACGTGTCTACTTCCTTCCGTGGGGGTGGGGCGAGGTAGCTATCCTTTATCTCCAGCACCAAGCCTTGCTTGAAACACTGAATGAGCGGTTTGTTGAGCGAATAAACAGGCTTAGAAGTAGAGTAAAGCACTAGCTAGAGACAGAGCAATAGCTTCTCTTTTGCAGTTATAAAACCAAAAGGGATGAGGGCCAGCAGAAGGTTAAGGCGCTGGGCTAGACCCCATGTAGCTCATTCCAGGATTCCAGTCCTGGACCTCTTGGCTTGGAAATTACATCAGGCACTTGTGTGTATATGCCCCAAATCTAAAGACTGGAAGAGGGAATTGCAGTGTGGCCATCCTCCCCTCCCCAGGGGAGAGGGATTTCTCACTTTCCCTCTCTTTCTCTGTCTTTCTCTGGTGAGCACACATGCCCTGTAGCAAAAACTAAAAACAAACAGAAAACACTAAGGGGGTGGATCCCCCGCCCTAATCCTCCTCTTCCCCTCTGGGATTTATTTTTAACCCTGATCGTCTGTGTACAAGGCAAGGGCTTCAGATTTCTGACCTCCCTCATTCGTTTGCTGCAGCACAGATCAGTGGACAGGGCAGCCTCCCAAGAACAGTTTATTACAGAACTCACTTTCTAAGTGTTATCTAAATGGACTTTGTTCTTTGGGAATGGGACAAAGGAACTTTGGGGCTCCCTCTGATAACCTTTTATTTTTTTAGAATTTTTATTTAATTTATTATCATCATTATTATCTATTTTAATTTGACCAGAGGGAGAGACAGAGAGAGAGAGAAAGGGAAAGTAGGGAAGCAAGACTCCAGGTCTGGGGCTTGAACCATGGTCAACCATGTGAGAGTCCAGTGCCTTAACCACCATGCCACCTTCAACTCCCTGACTTCTAGGTTCTGAGTGCAAAAAAGGAGCATCCACCTCCCAGAGTGGTGAGGAATAGATAATGTCGTGTATACAAGGGGCTACACTAGTGCCTGGCATGTAGTCAGCACTCAGTGAACTGTGGATATTATTATATAGTAATGGAAAAAGTAGGTGAATGAAGTTTTAATTTACGTAATTAAGAGAGGGGAAGGGATGCTAAGACAACAAACAGAGGCTGAAAAAAAGGCAAAAATATTAAACAGCTGTCTATTAATCATTTGGTAAATGTGGACAGTAGATAAGTGTTTAAATAACTAAAATTCCCTACATTCAAATCCAAGTTATTATATATGTGTGTGTGTGTGTGTGTGTGTGTGTGTGTGTGTGTATTAGCTAAGAATAGTACCTTTGGAAGGACAGTTAACAGGTAACAGTTGTTACCTCCAGGGAGGGGACTTGAACTCACAACAGTTGCGGGAAAAACTTAAAAATTTTGCCATGTGTCTATATTACCTATTAAAAATTAGTAATGCATTTTGAAGTTAATACTACTAGTTTAAATTTTCTCTTAAGTTTTGCTGAACTTGGACAAACCTGGGAAATCAGAAATGTCTGCTTTCACCCTTCATTGAGTCAGAGCCCTGATATCACTCCTGGTGCTTGGTACCCTGCAATGGAGAGGCCTCTGCAACCACAGTGGGGCTAGCCTTGAAGCTGTTCATCTCACCAATACTCATCAGGCTAGTATCAGACCTAGCTATTACATGAACTAGCTAAACTGTTACCTACTCAGACACTCTGATGCCTTAATGGTCAAAATCCTAGGTACTGTGAAGGATGACATTACCTCATACCTCATTTTTCTAACTTACAATTGTGGGTGGGGGGACCAGCAGTTGACATAACGGCTGTGTTGCTGGACTCCCATGTAGTTGACCGTGGTTCAAGTCCCAGACCCAGTGGCTTAAATTCACACCGGGCGCTTGTGTGTGCGTGCCAAGGATCCTGAGAGGAGAATGGAGGAGAAGGGATTGTGGCGTGGCCATCCCCCCTGGGAGGTGATTTCTCACTTTCTGTCTCTCTGTCTTTCTGGTGAGCGCACACACCCTATAGCAAAAATCTCTCTCTCAAAAAAAAAAAAAAAAGATTGTGGGTGGGTATAGGGTAAAATATTCAGTTATTGATTTTTTTTTTTTGGAGAGGTTTTTGCTATAGGGCACGTGCACTCGCCAGACAGACAGAGAGAGACAGAGAGATAGAAAGCGAGAAATCACCCCCCGGGGGGATTTTCCCACAATCCCTTCTCCTCCATTCTCCTCTCGGGATCTTGGGCACACACGCACACGCGCCCGGCGTGAATTTTAAGCCACCGGGTCCGGGACGCAAACGGCGGGCAACTACGTGGGAGTCCAGTGCCAGCCATTACACTAACTGCTGGTCCCAGTTATTGATTTTTTTAACAACAGTTACATCCTCTTGTCCTTTCATTTTTTTCCCCATTTAAACCTTGACATAATTATTAGAAGCAAAACACTTTTTACTTTCTCAGCTGTATCTCAAGTGCACATCATTTTAGCAGTTAATTTTTTATTAATTCATCATTGGCTACAGCGATTCCTCCTCTGCATATGTTGAAATGGAAGTGGCTCCACATACTTTCTTGTGTGCCTTTTATTTGGGTAAAAGGTTCAGAACTCTGTTTCATTCTCTTTCATTGCTCTGTGGGCTATTTACTCTTAAAAACTATTTTAAAGTGATGTTTTTATTAATTTAAAATGAACGTTATCTCTGTAAAAATATTTTGTAAAACATGAAGACTACAGTAAGAAAAAGCCATGATTTCACCATCAACAGGTAACTACTGTTAACATCTCTATTTCCCTCCAGTTCTCCTAATATCTATACTCTTTTTTTTTTTTCTCACTACAGGTGCATGCACTTAGGGGAGACAGGCCACACTACAGTCCCTCCTCAGTTCTCCTCTGGGAATCTTGGGTACCACTCATAGGCACCCAGAGTGGTTTTTGTTTGCTTGCTTGTTTGTTTTCATTTTGAGAGGTTTTTACTATAGGGCATGTGCGCTACCCAGACAGAGAGAGATAGAGAGACAGAAAGCGAGAAATCACCCCCCAGGGGGGATGACCACACCGCAATCCCTTCTCCTCCATTCTCCTCTCGGGATCTTGGGCACGCATGCACACGCGCCCGGCCTGAGTTTTAAGCCACCGGGAACTGGACGCCAACCGCGGTTGACGACATGGGAGTCCAACGACATAGCCATTACGCTAACTGCTGGTTCCCCCCCACCCCCAGTGTTTTTTTAAGCCACTGGCCCAGATTGCAGGGTCGGCCTTGTGGGATCCACCTGTCTTTTCCTTTTTTATTTTCCTTTTGAGAGAGATTTTTGCTATAGGGAGCGCTCTCCAGAGAGAGGGAGAGACAGTAAAGATAAATCACCCCCCCCCGGGGGGGGAATGGCCCCACCACAATCCCTTCTCCATTCTCCTCTCAGGGTCTTAGACACGCACAGACGCACCCAGCATGAGTTTTAAGTCGCCACCAGGACTCCAATTGCAGTGGACTACAGGAGAGTCCCGCGATGTAACCGTTATGCCCTCTGCTGGTCCCAGGACCCGGCTGCCCTAACCGCCCTCCGTGCTCTTGTTGGTGCTATACAGGTTTATACGTCGTTTTCTTGCTTAGTTTTGAAGTCTCCAAAGTACATTTCCACTTTCATATGTAAACGATAAAAGTTTGTCCTTAGTTAAATGTTGCAAAGATATTGGTGGAAGGTCATTTTGAACACAGGCACTAACTCTGAATTAGCACTGAGCTCTTTCACAAATCCGTAGTTATGTCCCGATCCATAACCACCGGACGGACATTCGGACATTCGTGCGTCACGCGGCACACTTCGCCGAGGTTCGCCAGGGCGCTGCCGCACTCACTAACTTGAATCCTTGGCTTGTGACAAATACTCTGGCATCCGGTGGAATTCTTTGGGCCCTCGACTGGCCTGGCGGCTTAAGCAGGTATTGTTCCAAGACCCCAGACCAAAGAGGCGTACATCAGGATCACGACCCACGAAGGGCCAAAAGGGGCGGCGCGCAAGTAGATTTGAAACCTCAGCGAGTGGCAGCCTTATTTTAATTAATTAATTTATTATTTGTTTATTTTTAAATTTTACTTCGAGGGCTTTCCGCGCACTTGGGAGAACAATCTAGATCACCTCCCCAGCAGGAGGCTGGCGGGAAGGAAAGGCCGGTGGGCGTGTTCCGCGCCCGAGGCCCGCGTTGGACCGGCGTCGGCTGCGGAAACCCTCCCCGCGCCCGCTGCGGGTATAGGGCTTTCCGCGCACTTGGGAGAACAATCTAGATCACCTCCCCAGCAGGAGGCTGGCGGGAAGGAAAGGCCGGTGGGCGTGTTCCGCGCCCGAGGCCCGCGTTGGACCGGCGTCGGCTGCGGAAACCCTCCCCGCGCCCGCTGCGGGTATAAAGAGGCCGGCGGTGGCCCTGGGCAGCCTCGGGCTTCGCAGCGGAAAAAGGCTTGCGTCGTCGGTCCGCACCTGTGCTGGGTACCGTCCCGACACCACGAAGATGGCACCCGTCGGGGGGAAAAAGGCCAAGAGGGTGAGTGTCTAGGGAGCCCACCGGCCCGGAGCCCCGCCTCGGCCTCGGCCAGCGCTGAGCGTCCTGCTGTGGCCTTCGCACCCCCTCCTTCTCGCAGGACCTCCGACAACAGGTGCTCCCAGAACTCCTGCCAGCCCCAGCCCCCACTTCTGCCCCTGTCTAAGCGCACTCCCAGAGCCCCCTCTCCCCTCACCATCCCCACACAATGTGCCCTAAATCTACGGTCCGCGCCTCCCAGACCCAAAAGCACCCACGGAGCTCCCCGCCGACTCGAGGGCGCCCGCGGAGCTCCGCGACTCCCAGGACCTGAGTCCGCGCCTCAAGACCAGACACCTGCCCCAGAGACGCCGCTGCTAGCCCCGCGGGCGCGATTTCCCGCAAAAAAAAAAAAAAAAAAAAAAAAGTCCCACGCCAGCCTCAAAAGCACGACTTAAATAAATAAATAAATAGGCAGAATGTCTGCGGAAGGGCTGCTACCCAGATTAAAAATCCACAAACCCAGCAGTCCCAGCTCCGGATCAACAGCAAACCCCTCTTAGCTTTCCCAGGGCTCCTAGGGATCGCTTGTTTGGGGAAGGAATAGGTAGATGGGCTGACTGTGGGAGTGTGCTTAGACCAGAGGGAAGAGGGGAAGAGGGAACAGTCTTGGCTCTGGGTACCAAAATGCCCAGGCCTTGGGCAGTAGAGGACCCCAG